TTGTTTTGGCGGGTCCAGGCTGGATTCGAACCTGCCACCTTAGGTGTATGTGGCTGGCACCTTAGCCGCTTGAGCCACAGGCATGGAGCCCATAATTAACTTTCTAAACCTGCTCCTCAGGAATCCCTAACAGTTCCCAGATGTCCTCATTGCTGGGACCCAGTTGCACTAAGCCAGGCTGCGCGTGTATACCCAGGTTCACAGCAGCATTGCTCACAACAGCCGAAAGACAGAAACAACACAAGTGTCCGGTGACAGATGAACAGATAAACAGCATGTGGTCTGTACATGCGATGGAAGGAAATTCCCACACAGTCTACCATATGGATGAACCAACATCTACTAGACATCTGCTTGTTTCTTCCTCCCAGCCTTATGCTTCGTCCTCCTCACAGGATGTCCTTCCCTTTCTCCCTTCCTCTCCCCTCTGTCTCCCTCCCCTCTCCCTGGACTACGTATCCATCTGCTGTAGCCCACAGTTCAACAGTTTCCTTCGGGGTCTCCCTCCTCCTGCTGGTCTGGGTGCTCCTAGAAGCAGGACGCTGTTTCCTCCTCCCTCAGGTCTCCTTGTCCCCCAACCCCATAAATTACCTTCATGTTGGCCACTAGCAACGAGCTCTTCAGCCGGTACTTCCCGTCCTTCTGGGGATACGTGTACAGGAGCATGTCGCTCATCTGGGGAGAGGGAAACCTTGTCAGAGTTACCTCGGCCCCAGAAGGCTGCGCCTGGCTTCTATGTGTGGAGGGCCCCTGAGCTTGGGGGTACACAGGAATCTCACATTCCCCAGCAGCCCCCACAGGTGAGCAGGAACATTCTGTGCTAACATGTATGCCCCTTCCCCACCATCCCACTCCCAGGTAGACGCTCAAGAGGAAGAAAAGCTATGACCTCAGAAAGTCAGCATCAGAACATTCACAGCAGCTCTGTTAGTAACAGCCAAAACGCAGGAAGAACTCAAATGCTCACTGACAGTAGGACGGACAGCTGTGGTACTGTGGGATTCCGCAGGGCCACTGGAAGGGACCAGCTGCCACTGAACATGACCCATGACAGGGATGAAGCCTGAAATCACACCAGGTGAAGGAAGAAGCCAGGCACCACGGTGCACACGGTTTGATTACATGTGTATGAAATTCTAAAACAGGCGAAACCAATCTGTGGTGATAAATCAGCCTGGTGGCTGCCTGAGCTGTCTGCAACGGGGTGCAGGGAACTTCCTGGGCCCTGGAAATGTCCTCTATCTCAACCCATTGTGCCTACACAATGATGTCCACTCGCACTTGAGACTGGTACCTTGTAGTTTTACGCAAATTAAACCTCAATAAAGTATAGTTAAGGGAGGGCAGGAGAGAGGGAGGAGGCTGCTCGAGGGGGGCCTGGTGGGCCTGTCCCCCCCTGCTGCCCCTCTAGTGCCCTGCATGCAGTAGGTGCTCAGCTAATGTGTGTTGAACGAACAGCTGAAGCTCTCTGGCCATGCAGGGCAGATAGAAAGGAACACAGTGAAAGTCGCTTCACTGTCTCAGGAATGTTTCTATTTAGCTAAAAGGTTTCATGTTTGAAAAGACAGTGTCCTACTCAGGGCTGTAAGTCCTGACCCCCTTATGTACCAGCATTGTGACTATAGACAGGCCCTTTCCTCAGGTAAGCCTCAGCTTCCTCACCTTGGAAATACAGGATATCACCACCTTACTGAATTGTGGATGCTGAGGAAGAAAGCTCTCTCCACAGGAGCCAGTACCACCCAGGTGACCTTCTCCACGGGGACCGGCACAACCCAGAGGACCCTCTCCACAGGGACTGGCACCACCCAGGTGACCCTCTCCACAGGGACCAGTACCACCCAGAGGACCTTCTCCACAGGTGCCAGCACCACCCAGGTGACCTTCTCCACAGGGGCGGGCACCACTCAGGGGAGCCCTCTAAGTGCTGTCCAGACTAACAAGATGATGTATCTCAGTGTCTGGAACAGTGAGAACCAGGATTAGCTTTCTTTTCCCCAACAGACAGAGCTTGTTGATCAAACAGAACAGATGAGCAGATGAGTTTTCCCATTGCCAGCTCTTCTTGGGACCCCACAGTCCCAGCTGTAGGACACCTGGCCTGGACACTGACCACTTGTGTGACCTCAGGAGTCTCTTCCTTTGTAAAGTTGAATAACCCAGGGGCTGGTACCCTTTATGTTGAGGGCCAAGGAAGGGATGTTAAGGCCTGTGGGCCACTCAGCCCTGCTGCTATGATGCACTCACAGCTACAGACCGCCCAAGAGGAGGGCGTGTGCTGTGTTCCAACACAGCTTCATTAGCAAGAATTAGGAGCAGGCTGACTATGGCCTGTGAGCTGTAGTTAGTGAACAATCCCTGGATCAAAGCCCCTCCTGTCCTTCCTTCTAAGGACTACAAGAGCTATAGCACATGCCAGTGACTGTCAGGTCCCTGACATGAGTGATCTCACTTTACTCCCCCAACAATTATACAGGGCAGGCACCATTATCATCATCCCAATTCCCAGAGGGAGACACTGAGCCCAGAGAAGCCAGATCACGTGCCCAAGGTCACAGAGCTAGCAGGTGGTGGAGCCAGGATTGTGGGCAGGCATGTACTTATACAGTGTTACGGGTAGTCTCACATGACTCCCAGCCCTGCTGGGGATGAGGACCAAACCTGGCAACAGGCCATGTTCTGGAACCCTCTCACCCCTGAGGGACTGGCCTTCATCACTCAGGAGAGCAGTCCCAGCCTGTGTCTGCCCCACTCCCACCCCCTGAGCACCTGCTGCCATGGCAGCTGCCATCAGCACCGTGGTGGTCCCCACTAGGCTCCTTCCTAACCACTGTGGTTCTCCCCACTTCAAAGTAGGCATTTTCAAAGTCCCAGTCTGGAGGCGGGAGAAGGCATCCCTTCTGATGGTAGGGAATTTCCCAGCACAAGGGGCCATCAGTGGGCAGCCCCACCTGTAGCCTGGGGGCATGGGGGCCCTGTGAGTCCCACTGAAACCCTGCGTGCTGGCGGGCAGGTGCCAGACTCACTTCTGCAGCTCAGGTTACCTTATGAAAAGGGCACCTTATGAGGAAGCGAAATCCTTCCCAATTGTATCTGTTCGCCATGGGGCTTCTGGCTCAAGAATCTGTTGCTTTCCTCCCATCTATGCCTCTGTTAGTCAGTCATTAACATTGGCTCAGTGGACTGTGCAGAGATGGAGGAAGGAAAGGACCCAGGTCCAGACCTCAGGGAGCTTATGGCCCAATAATATTAGGGGAATCAGAGGGGCATAGGCCTGCCACTGCAACCTAGGGAGAGGGGGTATCTGATAAAGGCCTCCTGGGTGCTGGAGTAGGGAAGATGGTAGGAGGGGAGTAAGAGAAGGTGGGGTGGGGGAAGGGAGAGAGGGAGCATAAGAAAGCAAGAACGAGAGTGAGAGCAGGAAAGGGGTGGGGGCAGGTGTCCTGAGGCTTCCATAAAAGGTGCCGTCTGCGCAGGGTTTGAGAATGAAGAGGAGCTGGCAGGGTAGAGATGCACACAGAGCCTTGCATGTCAGGGCTGGTGAGCCAAGACCAAGGACAGATGGGACAGAGGAGGAGGTAAAGACAGGGTGGGGAGCTATGTTTCTGCCAGGCATTCAGGGTCCCTGGGAGAGATGTGGAGACTGGCAGTCATGACCAGAGGAGCTGGCTAGGAGTGAGTGGCTGGGGGACCAGTACAAGGCTTCCTCTGCTCCAGCCACTGCTTCTCCGCTTCCCTCAGTACAGGAGGGACAGGCAGGGCACTGAGGCTCAGAGGAGTGCTGAGGAGTCGTGGGTCTCACAGCAAAAGGGGTCAGAGCTGGGGTCTGAGTCTGGTCTGTTTGCCCCCTATCGCTATCCAGCCCAGTATCCCTTGTGAGAAGGGGCCTCAGGAACAGCCTACTGCAGGGTTTTGTGGGCCAGAGGGAGCCAATGAGCTCTGTATCTTTCTGCAGAGGGAGGACCTGTGTCCCCTGGGCAACTCTCAGGGGAAAGACAGGGACCCACTTTATTGCTTCTGGGTGCCGTTTAATTCTCATTTAATTCTCAAAACAACCCAGTATTTCCTGGTGGGAAATCTGAGGCTAATGTGTGTCTGTGACTTCTTTAAGGGTTACAGAGTGAGTATGTGTCCCACGGATCAGGATCTAATCCCACTGCCCAGTCTGGCTCAGATGGCCAGACTTCCACACAGATGGCCTCATAAAATCAGAGGCGTGGGTTTCTCCTCACTGAAGGGATCTTAATATACCTAGACTCGTCTAACGTGGAACAAGGGATGGTTTTTCCTGCTGGACTCTAAGATCCACAACAGGACAAGGCCACGCCCTGCACCTCAGCACAGATCTGGCACTCAGGAGATGGATCAGGAGCTCAGAGTGAATGTTACAGCTGGCAGAGAACTGCCTAACCCAGCAGGTGCATAAGCAGAGGCTAGAAAGAAGTGTGGGGGCTCTGAGATCCTTTTGAGAACCCACATCTGAACCACACACTGCTGGACTCCCAGGACCCTGCTGAGCCCTGCACAGGGATCTGCTCCTCCTGCCTGTAGCCAGATCTCTCCCGCCCTGCAGCACCCACCAGCCAGAATGAGGGGTTCTTCATGGGAGGTTAGAGTTGGCTGTTAGAAGGGGGAAGGTAGAGGAGACTCTGAACTTGGGCCCCTTCCACTTCATGGAGAGCTGAGGGACCCAGGGAAGCTGGACACAAGCCACCGAGGCTCAGCACACCGTGACAGGCAGCCGCAGACGGCAATTTCTGGCTGGGCTCAGAGTTTCTCTGCTCTCTCTGGGAGTCAGCCCTCTAGGGGCCCCTCTGTGGGCAGGGCCTATCTGGGGCGCAGCAGAAGCCCAACTAGAAGCTGAGGGCTTGTCTGTAGAGGACTCACACAGGTCCTCTGAACACGCCATCCTTCTCAGGTCTCCGTCCTTGCTTATGCCCGGTCCTCTCCTGATATGCCCTTCCTCCATCTACCTAACAACTCCTGTCCCTCCTTCAGAGCACCAAGCAAACACTAACATGGCAGCAGCGGCTGCTCATCCCTGACCCCGCCCCGAGTCACCTTCCTTGCTTCCACGGTCCCCTGAGATTCCTTCCATATCACTCTCATAACCCTGTATTTACAATGTCTTTCTGCTTGTCTCATTCCCACTGGACTCAGAGGCTGAGAGTGACACAGGACTTTCCTCTCTGCTTCCAGGGGCCAGTGCAATCGAGGTGCTCAGTAAACGTCTGACCCGGGAGCATGCAGCTGCTTCTTACCAGAGCCAAGCTGTGCCTGATCCATGCACTGCTCCAACTAAGTGTGAGCGGGCCACGAGAGGCAGCCGGGACACAGGAGCAAGGAATGACAGTAAGAAGTGTGGGAGAAGAGAGGACAGAGGGCGTGGAGCTGGGGGGGAGGTCGTCTCAGAATTAGGGCAAAGAGCTATTTATACAGCTCACATACACCCCTGGGCTTGATAGTGCTATACCCCGCGCCTGGACCTCCCTGATACTCAAAACTGTGGCTGTAAATAATAAAAACTGGTAAACGATGTCTTGTCCATGGTAAAGAAAGTGCAGGGGGTAGGGTCACGAACCTGCCTTCTTTGGTTTCTCTTTATTACCAACCTGCCTTGGCTGGTCCAAGGTTAGTTTCCCTGCTAGAACTTAGTTTTCCCACATCTTAGAAAAATTAGTTAGACAGTTATTCCCAGCTTAAGAATTTCCTGGTTTTACATGTTTACAATGAGGACATGGGCAATTCAATTTCAACAACATTCCTTTTTTTTTTTTTTTTTGAGACAGAGTCTCACTCTGTCATCCTGGGTAGAATGCCATGGCATGATAGCTCACAGCAACCTCAAGCTCTTGGGCTCAAGTGATCCTCTTGCCTCAGCCTCCCAAGTAGCTGGGACTATAGGCATGGACCACAACGCCCAGCTAGCTTTTCTATTTTAGTAGACACAGGGTCTCACTCTTGCTCAGGCTGGTCTCGGACTCCTGAGTTTAAGTGATGCACCTGCCTTGGCCTCCCAGAGTGCTAGGATTATAGGTGTGAACCACCATGCCCAGCTCAGCAACATTCCATTTGAAATCTTGCAAATAATAAATGAGTTAGGGGCTGTGGTTTATAAGGGTTAAGCTCTCAGCTTTCCACAAGTTCAGCTATGCAGAATGATCTTCATTCTAAAAATTCTGCTGTTCTACTCTCCGCCTCCTATCTTCCACTTTTCCTTGAATAATGGCTTTATAAAATGTCACAGGACTTTGATAGTCCCAGGTGGCTGGGCACTTACCAGAAACAGGTGCCGGGGGCGTCTGTTCTTCCCCGTTACTTTCATCAGTGTCCCTTCCTTCAGAAACTCCTGTGGGGAGAGAAGCAGACCTCAGTGACCAGGCTCATGTTCCCTGCTGTCCCAGAGAACGGTGTGGGGAGGCTCCTGAGTGGGAAACTTAAATCAGGAAGCCTCTCAGGGAACCAGAGAGCAGGTGAACAGGTGAATTCCTAGCTCGTGAGAGATGCTTCCCATAGCAGAGTTTGGATTATAACCCTGCAAGGTATAATCCCGAATGCCAAAGTCTAAATCCCAAACATCTAAAATCCTTAATGTCTAAAATCTGGAAAATAAAGCCAGGTGCTATGGTGTATGCCTGTAGGCCCAGCTACTTGGGAGGATCACTGAGCCCAGGAGTTCAAGACCCGGCTGGGCAACACAGTGAGACCTGTGTCAACAAAACAAAACATGAAATCACAGGATAGTTGCCTCAGGTTAGGCAGAACTATCACTTTATTATTGTCTTTATTTGGAAATTCAGTGTGGTTTAAGGAGTATGTGTGGGTGTCAGGTTTGAAGGGGTGAGCTTGTTTTAGGTGTCAATGCAACTGGATAAACGAATATCTAGAAACCCAGTTTGCTACTCTGTTTATTTCACCTTTACACCATTTCCAATACTGGAGGCATAAACTGTGTAGAGACTTTTAGAGAGTTCTAATTAATTTATGCCTTTTTTTTTTTTTAAATCTGCCTCCACAAAAGTGCACTATCAGTGTTAACTTTGGGGTAAGCACTGGGTTCATACATAAAAACGCGGAAACCTAATAAATGAAGAGATGTTATTTTTGTACTTCTGTATGTGTGAAAGATAAAATTTTTCAAGATCTTGGCTCCATGGGCAACTCTGTATATGGTAGTGAACCATCGTGGGTTTTGACTGATCTTGTCAAAAGACAAGGTTGTTCACTGTGGGATTTTAGATGACAGCAGTTATAAAGCCCAGTACACACAAGTGTGTTTATAAATTTACCTTTTGACTTATTTTTATGAATACAGCTTATTGGCACAAAACTGTCACTAGTATACCTGAGTGATCATGCGTGCATTATTACCTATTTTATTGTGTAAAGTGGCCTGTGAAGAGTTTTTTTTGTTGTTTTTTTGTTTGTTTGTTTGTTTTGTGACAGAGTCTCACTAGTCGCCCTTGGTAAAGTGCCGTTGTGTCACAGCTCACAACAACCTCAAACTCTTGAGCTTAAGCGATTCTCTTGCCTCAGCCTCCCAAATAGCTGGGACTACAGGAGCCCGCCACAACGCCAGGATATTTTTTTGGGGGGGGTGTTGCAGTTATCATTGCTGTTTAATAGGCTCAGGCTGGGCTCGAACCCACCAGCCTCAGTGCAAGTGGCTGGAGCCTTACTCACTGAGCTATAGGCGCTGAGCCCTGTGAAGTATTTTTATGTGTTTCTCAAATAAATCCCCCTTTAAAAATGTAAACAAATATCTTTTAAAGATTTTTATAAGTTATTTTTTCCATAATTATATTTTTGGGATTGTGATCTTTTGAGATTTCAGGATTATGATCAGCTCCAACCAGAGTGGTACTGGAGAGAGGAAGCCATGTCCTCTCAGCAATGTCCACCTTGTATTGCACCAAGCCCCAGATACTGTTCTGGCCACCGAGTGGTCAAAACCAAGACTCACTCCCTGGTTTGCCCAGGAAGGCAATCAGACCAAAGCCTTGGCCAGGCACAGTGGCTCACTCTGGGAGACCAGCCTGAGCAAAAGCAAGACCCCGTCTCTATTAAAAGTGGAAAAAATTAGCTGGGCATCATGGTGAACCCTGTAGTCCCAGTACTATAGAGACTGAGGCAGGAAGATTATTCGAGCCCAGGAATTTGAGGTTGCTGTGAGCTATGACACTGTGGCACTCTACCCAGGGTGATAGTGAGACTCTGTCTTAAAAAAAAAAAAAAAAAAGTGTCCAGGCAAGGTGGCTTATGCCTGTAATCTCAGCAATCTGGGAGGCTAGGGTGGGTAGACTGCCTGAGCTCATGGGTTCAAGACCAACCTGAGCAAGAGCAAGACCTCATCTTTAAAAATAGCCAGGCACCATGGTGGGCACCTATAGTCCCAGCTACTTGGGAGGCTGAAGCAAGAGAATTGCTTAGCCCAAGAGTTTGAAGTTGCTATGAGCTATGATGTCATGGCACTCTACTGAGGGCGACAAAGTGAGACTCTGTCTCAAAAAATAAAAAAAATGTATAGCACCTCCGAAGGTCTGCTAAAACCGCTGTGAACTGCCACGATAGCCTCTTAACTCTGGAGGATACAAACAGATGTTGAATAAATGCTTACCTAACTCGTGATCCTGGTCAAAACACTGTGTGATTGTACCGAATCTCAGCCTAGTGAGATCCCTAACACTTCTGAGGAAACCCCCCTGAGCACCGTCTCTCGTTCCCTTGTCTCTTGTCCTTCATGAGCTGTAACTGGTAATGAACATATTTTTGAGCTGATTTCATGTTTTCCATTTGGAAACAACTTCTCAAAGAAGTTATTTTTAAGATGTTTTCTAGGGGCTTTCTCTTTTCCAGCAACTGTAGACTAAAAATATTTGGTGTCTCTTCTTCTTGGAGGTAAGGAGAACCACAGGGAATGCCGAGCCAACTGGCATTGTGTCTGCCTGAGAGCAGACGCCTGGACAGACAACCCCAGAAGAGGTCCAGAGAGCCCGTGCCCACCCGCCTGCCCGCCCTCCACAGGCAGACAGCACCTGCAGCCAGGCCTGTCTGGGGCCAGCCCAGCCAAACAATGGGGCTTATCAGGCCCTGCCTGCCTGCCCTCTGCCCCTGCCCATGGAGGCAGCGGCACTCACCCTTCCTGGCTGGAGGAGGTCCCCTTGGCCCTGAACACTGTGCTCGATGTGGACCAGCTTCTGCAGGTTCTCCTGTGGATGGGAGTAGGGTGAGAGGGAGACGGTTAAGGCTCCTTCCAGGGGTATTCTCTGCTCTGTAAGGAGTGGTATGCTTGTGCTTCAGAGAAAAACGGAGCTCAGAAAGGCCTGACTCAAATCTAATCTAAGTGTTAGGACTGGCACCTGAGCCTGGGTGTGCAGGATGCCAAGGCTGTCCACAATTAAGCTAGTCCCTCCAGGCCTGGGGCCTGACACCACCATCTTTCTGTGTGCTACGGGCATGGCCACATGGTCTCACTATGCCGTCTGATACCTGTTTGTCTCTAGGCCACTGCTCCTACTCAGCCTGTGTCCCTCACAAGGCCTGGAGCATCTGGACTTGGGTAACCTAGCACCAAGTTGGACTCAGGCTCTCCTAACTTGCAGCATAGGATGGAGACCCTGAGGAAGAATAAACAGGGCAAAGATCGGATCCAAGCTCTTTGGCGCTCCAAGGTTAAAAAAAATGTATGCTTGGGAACTCCCTCTCGATCCCTCACTGGGTTAACTCAAAATATGTAAAGTGACACACCTGAGTGAGTCACACAGGTGCACAGCACCCAACAATCCTAGAAATAACAAGCACCCACCTCCCGGGCAGGTGCCCCTTAAACCTCATGCAAAGGCCGGTTCTAAAGAAATCTTGTAAAGTAAATACTGCGTTGATGAGTCCTTTCCGTTACCCATGTTTTGGAGCATAAAATCCTACACAGCAGAAAATAAGTAATGTTTATTTCATTTCCACTTATGATGTACAAAGCTGTAAGAGGACACTGCTTCTGTCTTAACAGTGAGAAAAGACCAAATGATACGCAAAATCATAACTTTTCTTCAGTTTATAAGGTAGCTGAGGAAAACCAAGTGAATTCCAAGGACTGACGAGCCCCTTCACAGAGAAAGGAGATGTAGGAAAACCTACGTCTCACTGTACCTTATGACACACAGAAGGAGGACGTGAGGCAAGAAGCAAACAGCTAAAATGTCAATGAATTCTTAAAGGTCAAGTGTGGGCCGGTGGGATAGTGTAGAAGAACCAGGAGGCGCAGCCAGGAGGGAATCTGCACTCACTTGTGAGCTCATTCCCATGTATGCTCACAGTAAGATGTAGGCAGGACAGGGGGCAGAAGGAGCCCCCACTGATGGTGAGGGAGTACAGGCTAGTACTGGGGGTACACAACCCCCTGCCCCCTTCCTCTAGCCCCTCTCTCACACCAGGCTTCAGCCTTGCAGGGAAGCCAGGAAACCTCCCACCCCCAGGGCCCAGGCAAAGAGCCACTGCTCTGGGGAAAGGGTAGAAGCCCCGGGGCCCTTACAACATAGCAGGATCATGCAGAGGTCAGCAAGGGTGGTCACAGATTTAGGGCAGAGCTTGGCTGCCTGGGGAGGAGTGGCAGGAGTGCTGAGACGGAGTCTGGCGCAGGACGATAGAGAAATCTGCTTGTGTCACCGTAAGCCTTGCACTGAGTAACAAGAGGCCACACCTCTGAGCAGGGGCGAGCATGGAGGAGAGCTTTCTGTGATGCAGGGATCACTACAAGCTGAATGTGGAGCAGGAATAAGAGGAAAACTCTCTGGCACTGCAGACTCCACAAGCAGCACAAAGTGACAGCAGCCCTCTGCTACAGTAACAGGAAGTCTGGGGCCCGAAAAGTGATGACATGACAACAAAACCCAAACTCAGAGGAAGAACTAACTAGACTGACTCAACTGCCCCTGCCCCTTCCATGAAGGGCATGACCCCAAAGGAGGCACGCCTGGTTGTGGAATAAACTCTCTTTACCTCCATCTCTATAGTGCTTCCACACATAACGCCTGGAGTTCTGTAAAAAATTATTAGCAACACAAAAAAACAAAGAAGAAAACTCCCAAACCCCTTCAAGGCATCCTACAAAACCAAAATAAAAAGAGGGCACAGATGTTGGAGTTATCAGACAGAGATTTTGGTAACTAGGATCAGTATGTTACAGGATCTAGTGGGAAAGGAGGGCAGGGAAATGGAGAACTTCGGCAGACAAAAGAGTAAAACGGAAATGTTAAACTAAAAAGACATAACACGAGAACCAAAGAATTCCTTTGACAGGCTTAGTAGCAAACTGAACATAGCTAAGGAAAGAATCGATGAACGAGAAAATAGATTAATAGAGATTATCCTAACTGAAACACAAAGAGTGGGGAGAGAAAATGAGCACCCCAAATAATTTTCCAAAATTAATGAATGACAACAAACCACAGATCCAAGAAGCTTAATAATCATAATAGGATAAGTTATCACCCCGTCCCCCCACCAAAGACTCACAGACACCTCACAGTCAAACTTGTAAAAATCAGATAAAAAGAGAAGATCTTAAAGGCAGGCAGAAAGAAGGGACTCATTATAGAAAGGACAAACATTAACATTTCAGCAGACTTCTTATATCAGAAACTACGTAAGCCAAAAGACAGTGGAATGGCATCTTTTTTTTTTTGAGACAGAGCCTCAAGCTGTCACCCTGGGTAGAGTGCTGTGGCATCACAGCTCACAGCAACCTCCAACTCCTGGGCTCAAGCAAGTCTCCTGCCTCAGCCTCCCAAGTAGCTGAGACCACAGGCGCTGGCCACAACACACGGCTATTTTTTGGTTGCAGCCATCGTTGTTTTGGCAGGCCCGGGCTGGATTCGAACCTGCCACCTTAGGTGTATGTGGCTGGCGCCTTAGCCACTTGAGCTACAGGCACCAAGCCAGAATGGCATCTTTAAAACATGGAAAAGATTGTCAACCCAGGTTTCTGTGCCCAGGAAAAATATCTTCTACAAATTAAGGTAAATCGAACAATTAAGTTCATGGGTCATGGATGGTGGGAACCATGTTCCTCACTGTTGGAGTGGGAATTTACAGCAAGGGGAGGTGGCTAGAATGATCCATGTGGTAATGATTAGAATTGGAGATTATCAGTAAACTCCTGTTTACCTTAATATTCAGATAAAAATAGTTATATATGGCAATATCTACAGATATGTGTATATAAACGTTAGTATACACACATATATTTCTCTATCAGCTAGGAGGGTGTGAAAGCAATAATACTACCTTAATAATGTTAGTACTTAATGCCCATGTCTTGGTTTCTAATAGCTCTGTCCAATTAAAAGAACCAGAGTTCCTTAAAGAAATGACGGGTTTTAAGGTAGGGGCATGAAATATACAAGGTGAGCAAGCTTGGAGCATCTTGTAGTGCTATAAAGAAAGGAAGAACTCAAATACACATAAACTCCCAAACTATGTTGGGGCTATGAAAATGGAAATCCTAAATGCTCCCAAAGACCAAAGCTGGAATAATTGAGAAACATGATAAATAAACCAGTGCAGGTATTTGTGTCCCCTCAATATTTCCAAATGAAAAAGTAGTGTAGGATTATAACTCAAAGTATGAAGTAAGTATCTACGAATCCATACAGATACAAGTAATGTGGGAGAAAACCCAAATCTCTCATGCAGAAAAATCCTAAATAATCTCGGTAGATACTCTGCTCTCAGGGAGAGGGGACATAATTCCCCACTCCTTAAGTACGGGCTGTGCATGATGACTTTCTTCCGAGGAATATGAGAAAGGCAGGGGGTGGGGTAGGGGTCAGGGAGAAAGAAAAACTATACAACCCCAGCCGGTTGATCTAGTATCAGATCATGTAGACAGGACGTGTCCTTTGTATGATGCAAGGAAAATGGTACTTCACCACTGTCATCTTCTTCTTGAATGACCATCAACCCAGTCTAATCATGAGGAAACATCATACATTTCCAGTAGAAGGGCATCCTACCATATACCTTGACCAGTATTCTTGAAAGCTGTCAAAGTCATCACAAACTAGGAAAGTCTGAGAAACTACCACAGTCAACAGGAGACGATGGAACGATGACAGCTAAATGTAATGCAGTGTCCTAGGTGGGGTCTTGTATTAGGGCTAAAACTAAGCAAATCTGAATGAACTATCTAGTCTTTAATTAATAATTGGTTCCTAAATGTAATAAATGCACCATGCTAATATGAGCTGTCAGCAATAGAGGAAATTATGTATAGGATTCATGGGAACTCTGTATTACTTCCTCAATTTTTCCTGTAAACTTAAAAATTGTTCTAAAAATATAAGGTCTATTCAGAAAGCTGAATGGTGTTTGCCAGGGGCTAGGAGAAGATGGGAATGGGAGTCAGTGTTTACGGGGACAGAGTTTCAGTTTGGGAAGATGAAAAGTTCTGGAGAAAAGTTAGTGGTGATAGTTGCATAACAATGCCAATGTAGTCAATGCCGCTAAACTATACACTCAAAAATAGTTAAAATGGTAAATGTCCCAGGCAGAGTCCCCACCCAACCCAAGGAGGGAGTGGAGGCCTCTGGTCAAGAGCAGGCCCGGTACAGCTGTCTGCAGCTGGCCTGTGCTTCCGGCACGGTATCTAGCCTCAGCTGGGACATCCAGCCTCAGCCACGGAGAAAACCAGGAGAGCATTTGGCTATTCCAGTGCCTCCTGTGGGAAGATGCTGCGTGTGACACTCACCCATAGAAGGGAAGATATATCATTTCCTGATCTGATTTTTCTTTTTGGAAGCAGAGACAGCGTTAGCTAAAGGGAAATGTGAAGAGCCCAGCCCATCTTCTGCTTTGCCACAGACAGGGCGCTGGACCCCCAAAGCACCTCTGTTTTGGCTTCAGTGAGGGAATCTCAGTGGATGTACAAGATGACAAAGAGGAGGGAGGTGGGAGCATGCCAGCACGAGAGGGTAGACCCTGAAATCAGCCCCAGAAACTGGCTCATGTTTGTACACCCCGCTGGTTTCAGCCTTCATACCCAGCCCACCCACATGAGCTGAGACCAGCCTCTCTCCCCAGATTCTGGTCCTATCTCACCTACTCTGCGCCCATCTCCTTGCCACGTCAGGTGGCTCTCTGAACTCTGGCACACACACTCCCACCTCCATGCCTTTGCCTTGGCCATTCCCGCTTCCCGGCTCACCTCTTCTCCCTCTGCCTTCCTGGCACCTGCACACATCCTCCCCAGGGGGAACCTCCACGTCACCTCTTCTGACAACCTCACTTGGAAACACCACCCCCCTTTTCTCAGCCCTAAGGCATTTTCTCTCTCCCCCTCCCTCACGATGTTTATCATGGTTGCTTGTATTTAAAGCTCCATGAGCTGGATTCATGTCCTATCACTTCTGTATCGCCAATCCCCAGCATAGCACAAGGCCTGACACACAGCAGGTGCCTAATAAACGCCACGTCCCCTCCTGTGTGTGGATGACTCACTATAAGGGTGCTCTACCCATCGTCACAAAGCTGAGCAATGTCCCTACAGACACACGACCATTACCTCCCTTCCACGTCCTCAGAGGACATGACTAATTGGTGCTGAACTCTTTCTCACTGAGCTGGGATTCAGCCTTAGAATCATTCTCAACACAGTGTTTTCATATTTAAGTTGAATGTAGATACAAGTAGCCATCTAACAACTGGCTGGAGCTGGGATGTGACATCAAGTGTGACACCTTTGCTCCTGACCAGTGTCTAGCAAAGAGAGACACTGTCAGAACCAGACGTATGCTTAGAGCCCAAGTAATCTAGTGGACTAGTGATTCCCAAGCCTTTGTGGGCACCACGGTTACCTGGGGGCTTGTTTACAATGCTTATCTCTGGACCCTATGCCCAGAAACTCCAGGAAGATCCTAGGGTATGCCTACAAAGCGCCCTAGGCGCTGACTTGGAGGGCCTGAGACCATGGTTGGGGTATTACTTGTCAGGTCTATATAAGTCTTCAACCCCCCCACGGTTCAGATGGTGAAAGAGAGGACCGGAGAGGGACACATGGTACCTGAGGTCACACAGCAGGCAGGGGTGCGTGCGGACCACAGGAGTGGGGTATCAAACACAAGCAGAGCAGGGCAGGGCGGAGAGGGTCCTGGAACACACACCCGAGGAAAGGTGCCAACAGACCACACTTACCCCCTGCTCCATGCTGTCGTTGGCACGGTCTGTGACTTTGGAGATGAGGGTCAGCACACCTGGGGAGGGATAGAGAGCAGGCCATTGGGCCACTGGGGGAGGGCCAGTTTAGGTGCTGCTGTCCTCACCCTTTCCCTCCCTCCCCACGCCCTGAGCCTCTGCTTGGCACTTGAGAGGGGCACCAAAATTTCCCCAGTGTAGTGTCAGGTCTGCCACTACCACCTAAGTGACCCCAAAAGTCTCTGCTCTCTCTACCTCAGTCCCCCTGTCTGTAAAATGAACATGCTACAAGAGGGACACCCTAGCAGGTGACACCCAGGGGAACCGCATAGAACTGGGAGGAAATAGGAAGTCTGTGAGAGCCTTTTAGACTGGCATCGCCCTCTGATTGTGGGTGACTCCCTTCTCCTCTGGCCAGACATTAGCCCTCCCAGGGAGTCCCCGCTGCCGAGGTAAAGGGGGAATCATCCCAGAAGATGCGGAGGCTCTCACAGAAGCCCTGGACACGCTGTGCAGAACACGCCCAGCTGGAGGGGAGGGGTTTGTGTCCTGTGCTGGGAACTGCAGCAGAGTCCAGGGCTGGGGAGAGGGGCCAAAAGAGGGGTATGGGCCTGGCCCCCAGGTTCACACTGGACTCACCCTGCGTGTTGTCGTACTCAGCTGAGTCCGGGCAAAGGTTGTTTAGATAGTCTGTCAGCAGAATGAGAGCCAGAGTTAGTTACACTCCAGTAAAGCCAAACCTCCCTGCCACAACCAGGGGCACCCCCTCTCTGGCAAGAGATGAAGTTCCAGAAGAAAGAGGCATCCACGCTCTCACCCATTAGCTCCATCACAAGCACAAAACTAGCGCCCTGGAGCTACCATCAACATCGCTGCCATGACAGCCGGTCACTCACTCAGCCAAAAAAACATCTGCTGAGTGCCTGCCATATGCCTGGCACTGCCTATGCCTCTTCAACACAGCCACAGCAGGGTGAGACCCTGCCTTTGAGAAGCACACAGCCTACTGGGGAAACAGACGTGACAACACAGTAATGTGTGACGTGCTGAACCTTTAGTGCATTTATAGCTACCAGGCTCCACATGCTCCGGCCCCACCCAGTTACCTCTCCACCTCACTTGCTCCATTCGGTCATGCCAGGATTCTTACTATGTCCTGAACATCCAAGCTTGTTCTTGCCCCAGGGCCTTTGCACTTGCCATTCCCGCTACATGACATTCTCTTCTTTCAGGTCTACATACGGCTTATATGCAACAGAGTTTGCCTGTTTAATTTACCACTACATCACTGTATCTCCAGCCTCCAGCATGGGGCCTGGAACATAGTAGGTGCTCAATAAATACTGATCGGATTAGATGAGTGCATTCTCCATGCCCTGGCCCTAGTGTATTTTTCTTAGAGTCCTGATCACCACCTGGAATAACATGTATATATCTACATGCATAGGACTAGAGTAACAGCTCCCCAGGGCAGGGGTCTTTGTCTATCCAGGAAGCAACAGGCAAATGGGTCTGGAGCTCAGAACAGAGGTGTGGGCGTTTCCAGTAGGCAGAGGTTGGGGAGAGGATGACATTCCCTGGGGAGGGTGTGTACAAAGGGTGGGAAAGAGGGTATAGGACTGAGTCTAAGAAGCTCTGACATTTGTAGGGTGGTGGAGGATGAGAGGCCACCAGCAGAGACAGGAAGAGAGACAGGTGGGAGGGAAAGGGGAGAGCATATGCAGAAGACGCCTGGGAGGAAAGGACCCAAGAAGCAAGAGGTGGTTAATGGTCCAGTAGGCAGGTCTGAGGCTGAAAGTGTTCTCTAACTTGGCCACTAGGAGAGCTTTGCTGACAGGAGCAGCTTTCGTGAAATGAGGAGATGTCTGGCTAAGACAGGGAAGACGTACAGGACAGTGGGGGGGAGGGTGTGTGTGTCATGGTGATTCTGTGTTTTAGGATGAGAGGTGGCTGCTGAAGGGGGTTTTCCCAGGTGGCATGAGGGGGCTCAGGGGTTCAAAGACCAACTGCTGGCAGAGGTGATGGAAAGGCCCTCACCCCCACAGAGGCAGGCAGGCTGGAAACTGATGGTCATCCTTCCCCGACACCTACCTGCCTGCAGAAAGGCAGGAGGCATGGTCGGCGCCAAGCACCTTGCCACCGTCCCCTCCACCCCCCTTCAGAGGCCTTCCCTGCCCCCACCACTTCAGCCCACCCTGACCGCCTATGAGGCCCACCTGTGAGCAGCACTTGATATTGGAAGAGGCGCTGTACCACCCTCAGCAGATGATGCTTCATGGTCTGACCGTCTCCTTGCAAACTCTGCTGCTCTCGAGAGAGGGAGGAAGAAACTCCATCAGAGACCCCTGCCTTAGGGCACTGAGCTCACAGCAAGTACACTGATCCCTAACCTTTCCCTCACCTGCCAAACTAGGTTAGGCTCCTCCAGGAAGCCCTCCTAGATTAGTCCACCCTGCTGTAACTGTCATTCCTATAGGCTCAGTCAGTGCCATACTCAGCAACAAACCTCTCCCAGTCCCTGCTTTGCTCCTGATCCCCCCTTTTCTGCCTAGGAACTGGATTCCATGTTTGTAGCCAGTGTTGGTAATTTCCTTGGTCACTTCCTAATAGCTAGGCCCCCAGCTTGGTTGGTACCTTTCAGCTAGGCCAGGCGAACTGAGAGACCTTTACTACAGTGGGGCTCAGGGAAGTGACACCCATTGCCCGACAGGGGATGTTCTGGTTCTGGCTTTCCTGTCCCCTCTGCTCCCCAGCCTCAGACCTACCAAGATATCCCACTGATCTACGTTAAGCCCTTCAATGCCCACTTCCTACCCCTGCATCCTTAAGGCAGGGTCTTGGAAGGCCAAGGACCCACCTCGAATTCACGGACAGCAGCTGCGAGCCGGGGAGAGTGGAGGCAGTTCTCACCAAGCAGAGCCAGGGACCTGTCGAACTGCAGAATGTGAGTGGCATGGTGGTCAAACTCCTGCTCCCGGGCCAGGAAGACATCAGCCACCTTCTGCTGGCTCTCCCTGCAGCCAGGGAGGGGGGTGAGGCAGAGAGAACTCAGCTTTGTGAACAGCACTTTGAAGGGGAGTGCTAGAGTCATATGCCTGGGTTCAGCTCCCAGCCTGACTCTTGCGAAGCAGTGGGGTCTGGGAGCCAGAGACTACTCACCAGTTTGACAGCCTCTCCTCCAGCTCCTGCAGGATGCCTTGGTGAAGGTCGTGGATGGCTGGGAGTTCACTCAGGCTCTGCTTCAGCTCTTCCCGGGCCAATGTGTCCCTGCCTTCTTGGTCCATGTCATTCAAGGCCTTCATGATGGCTCCATGGAAATCCTGAAACCCCAAAAGGTCTGTTACCCATAGGTTGACAAGTCCTTGGAAGATTTCCCCCTGTAGATGTGAAGCCCTGGTCTACACAGAGCTAGCCGGAGACCTTAAGCTAGCATTCTCACCTACAAAGCAGAGTTGACCACATGCACCTTATGACCTAGGGTGCCCACAGGGCTGCCTTATCATACCCAAAGGAGCACCCAACCCAATTCCCAGCACAACAGGACTTAACACACGTTCATTCCTTCTTTTCTTGTGGTAACTTGGAGAACTCTCTGCTTTTCAAGATAGGTAAGAAACTGGGTAATTCCTTCTCTAAGGAAATATAGTTTCACTTTCTAATTAACCATCTTTGAAGAGGTTTACACACTGTGCTGTTTAAAAACAAAGTCTAAGGAAATCAGAGGCATCCCCTCCATGGTGGGCTAAGTAGTAACTTTATAAAGATGATAAAGATGGTGACTATGTAAACATTTTCATGTCATAGTGTTAAGAAGTCCAGAGAGGGGCTCGGCGCCTGTGGCTCAAGCGGCTAAGGCACCAACCGCATACACCTAAGGTGGTGGGTTCGAATCCCCAGCCCGGGCCCGCCAAACAACAATGATGGCTGCAACCAAAAAAT